ACACAACCACACCACACACCACAACACACAACCACAATCACAGCACAAATCAGCGCACAATGCCAGGACCCACAAACCAACTCGAGAACCGCAAAACTCACGACCAGGGCAACACGCTGCTCCTCACAATGGCATGAAAACAAGTGATTGAAATGTCACGGCGGGGATCAATTTATTAATTAAGCACGCATGCACTCACACGTGCTTTTGGTTTGTTCTGGCTGTGGGTCACCGAGCTCGTGGTGGTCACACAGTTCGTGGAGATTGTTGAGCTTGTGGCGACAGCGTAAACTCCTAAACGTCGCGAGATTGACTTCATGGAGACAGACTACAGTCTTTGCAATTGACGCTTGCTGCTTCTTCACCCAAGTTGGCAGGTCTGAACTGCCCAGGCCGTGACATACGACGAGCGCCCTGACGACCCTGAGGGGCTGATGCGCAAGTTGCGCGCAAGTAGGCGCTGACAAGATGTTGAAGGCGTCTATGTCACAGTATGCACAGTCAGGAAAGTGAGTATGCGCACATGCAACTCCTTTGCTAGACATTGTGCTCAGAGACATTTGGGGAACCAATCATCAAGATCTCTTACGGCCACAAGAACCTGGATGAGGAGACGCGGAAGCAATTGCACCGAGTGCGCACGCGTGCAAGCTTCGCACTTTGGCTGCCAATGCTATTCAGTGCCGTGTCGCTGGCATCGGGGACGCAGCTCAGCTACAGTCGGACTACTACCCCCTGTGTCGGTTCCCTCCGCCCTATGTGTGCGTGGCTGATGATGTTGCCCCGCTCCGGCGCGTCACAAACTAGTCTGTGCGGCGGCTTTCGTTGTTGTGTGCCTCTCAGTGTGCTTGGTCTGTCTGCGCACACAAACAGAACTTGGCAACTTCAAGTTCACACAGAAGAATTGAGTGGAAGGAAGAATTGAGAAGAGAGGGGCTGAGGCCCCTCAGCCCCTCTGAACTGTGAGAAGTGAACGAATTTGAATTGCTCAGGGGCTGAGGCCCCTGACGGAAATTGAATTGAAGAAACAATGGGAAGTGAGAAGAGAGGGGCGGAGGCCCCTCAGCCCCTCTTCAAAGAAGATCTGTTCAGAGGCATGTTTCTTGCGTCCCATCGGTCACAAGAAGACACTTTTAAGTCTCCACCGGACCTTGGGGGGTGCTGCACTCTTGATTTCTCTCAAATAACGTAAATAAGTTGTTTGTCAATGACAGATTGTGCGTTTTGGGCTGGATGGAGGTGAACGGTTTGGTGGCCCATAACTGACGTCGAAATGGACTTCGAACTTGTACTGCTTTAGGTTGGAGAACCTGTTGTAGGGAATGGTGAAGCCTATTGAGCCACCCCAAAAAATTAAGGAGGCATGAACGCATAAATATATCAACGCCAGTTCCACTAGCTTGGCGCTAGCCAAGGCAAGCTCCACATTGGGTCCCGAGTTCCTGTGATCCAACTGAGCGTTTGATCTCGAAGTCGATGTCGATTGGCCCCAAGACTGGGGCAGTTCACCGGATCATCGACCGAAGTCGTTGGGTGGAGTGCACGGGTCCTTTTTTTTCCTTTTTCGCCACCTCCA